TTGATGAAATTTAATTTAAAAACAGATATAAATTTGTATTCTAGTCTTCCAGATTTCGATCAAAGTGATTTTTGATAATTGAAAAATTGAACACTTATTTAAGTCTTAAATTAAAATAAATGTATAATTCTTTTAATTACTAATATTTTAATATCTAAAATTACTTTGATCGAAGACTAGATGACAAATTCAAATCTATTTTCAAAAGTAAAATCCATCAACTTCAAGTCAAAAATAAATACAGCGAATTAATATATACTCATCAACAGTTATTATTTTTATTTTATGTTAATAATTAATTTTTTTTATAATATGGTACTATGCACGGTATACGTAAACTGGGTGTAAAATGATTGCGCCCAACCAATTAACACGATCGAGCCCGTTTTATCTTATTACCTGCATAAAATACAACACAATTGTGCTCCATTTTATTTATGTGTCCCTTATATATACATATATATAGTATATACACATATTATTCTAACAATTTTCCATTACACTATTTAAAAATTAGACTTAGTTTCCCAATATGTTTAACCGGGTATTTTGTACCTGCACTTAATTAATCGAGATAATATTTTATTGTTAATCAATCTTATCTGTAAAGTGTGGATATAGTGTAGTGATCGGATTTTACATATGAGCTTTAAACAAACTTTGAAAAGAACTAGAAGATAAATTTACATTAATTACAATGCAAACATAAACAAAATCAGAACAAAATAAAATATCTATGCTAGAGAATTTGAAAGAAAAGGGACCAATATTTTGTGCCATAAAATTGTAATTTGTAGTAGAATTATATTATTAAAAAAATTTTAATTTGATTAATTCGAACTTTTTTAACTCGAAATCTTTGATATCCGATTGTATTTTAAAATAAGTATTAGGAAATTGTTAAAATAGCATTATATATGTATGTAGGGACACATATGTATATGTTACGGTAAGATACCGAATACCGGTGAAACTTTGGTTTGGTCAATCTTAAGACAAATTACTAGCATTGGTAAAATTTAAATTTTCAATCAGATTTCTCATCAATTATATATTTTTTATGATATGATTTTCCTTGTTTTATAGTAGTTTGTACTCGTATATAAAAATAATAATTACTATTATTTAAATATATTTATTATATATTTAGTATTAGATTAACACATTTATATTATTAATAATTATTATAATATATTGTTCATACACATTATTATAATTAATATACGAGTATAAAACTAAATATTATGTCAACATATTTATCATAATTAATTATTTGTGCAGACTTGACTATTTTGACATATTGAGTTGTACAACACATTTTTGGATAGGCACTTACATTGATTTGTGATACATTTGTATTCATACTTTTATCTTAATTAATATATATATTGGAGCACAATCTTGTTGCGTTTAATGTAGGTAAAAAGGTAAAACGGACTCGATCGTGCTAATTGGTTGTGCGCAATCATGTCGCATTGTTTCAATGAAAAAAGGTAAGCCGGGCGTAATCGTGTTCCACGGACGTGAACTGCGCTTAAACGACCTTATTTTTGTAAACTAGGCCCCACAACTTAAGCTGTGCCACGATTGTAAAATATTTATTTTCATTTAACACAGTCGTGGACTAAGCTGGTTAGTTCAGTATTACGGTTTACCATTTGTAAGTCCAGGAAGTGTATCTGAGTGTTTTTTCAATTATTTAATGAAATCAAAGCCTAACGACGAAGTGTGACACAATTTGCGGATAATTTGATAGACGTATAATATACAAGTGAAAAAGCTCAGTATTCATCTGAAGTATGGGCACAAGTTTCAGCAGAGTCAACTTTAACCATTAATGCATGCGATTCTTATCATTCTCACTTTAATTCTAACTTTTATACATCTTATCTAAATGTTTTCATGTTCATAGAACAGTTAAAAAAATTTCAAATAAAAAACATGTATCGAACAAAATAGTGTAAATGAACCCTTTAAATACCTAAATTCAAAAGTTACAAAACTCAATTAAACAAATATGATTGTGAACAAATTCCGATCGATGAATATATATGTCAGCAATTAGGTATGTTATAATTTGTAATGTTTGTAATTATTTTACTTAGTAAAATTATATATATATATATATATATATATATATATTTAATTCATAATTTAATTTTAATTTTAATTATTCATATTATAGGGTTGTAACAAAATAAGTATACATTAAAGATAATTTTGCAAAAATTAGCTATTGATTTTTACCCGGGCGCAGTATAAATATATCACCTTTTTTAACTTGATAAAAACTCGGGCGTTTACATGTGTGATTTTTTATTTATTTGTATTTTAGGCGCAGTTTACAATTGCCGATTACGCGACTAGGTATATTATTATGTATGAATAATTTTATTATATTGTATAGTAGTTTATAGAAAAATAATAGTATGCCTTTTCCGACGAATTCTCATGCAGCATGATTTATTTTGATTGTCATCGTGAATCCAGGAATTCAAATGCGAAAACACACGCATACACACACTAATATTAATTTACTTCTCACACATTGACGCGACTACAACTGCATATGTAATAAGAAATGCCTAAACACTACTCCTCAAAACATGGTATGCTTCAGCCCCTTTAGTAAAACATTAAAAGTGTGATAGTTATTATCGAATTTCTATCAGCACTATTAGATAATGTATATTATATTATCCGACATTTTTTTTTTTTTAAATTGCCCAAAAAAACATATTTGAACAAGCTTTATATCATAATATTATAATATATTACATCGATTTGAGTTTTTCTATTGTTGTGCCACATTATTAGTCTCGTAAACATTCTGTCAACCGTTGACGATATTTAATTTCGTAATTGAATTTGACTGAAATGCTCAAATAACAACTCACAAAACGAGCATCACGATTTTACAATAGATTGATAATAAACAATAGTGTTTCCTGCAAGTTAAAAACTATCAAAATATGTCGCTGCGACAGTGTGCATTATCTCGAACAATAACGTTTCCATAAAACGGCATGCTTCCGACACGTATGACTATAAATTTAGTAAATCAATTGACATCTACTTTATGTCAAAAAATTACAAATGTTTCCGAGAAGTGCCGCTTTCTAATTTAACGTGAAAAAAAAATATACGGATTTTGTCCGTTTCTGTTCGTACGCGCAGGCACAGACACGATGCTACGGCGTCGGTTGCAGCTGCCCATCCCTTGAACAATGTTGCTTACTCAGAATGTCGTTTCCAATGTTTCGATACAATAGGTGCACGGACAAGATGCTACGACGTCGGCTCCCCAAACCCCGCACAACGTTGTTTACTCAGAATGTCGTTTCGATACAATAGGCGAAGGGAATTCGAGGACCGTATTCAAGAACCGTACACGTGAAAATAATATATTTTATTGTCCTTGTTGTCGTTTCAGATTATTTTCACCATTTATCGTTAACGTTTTTAGAGCTGCGTGATTCAACAACAATATTATTTAGCTGGCGCATGAATCACGTACCTACTATTTAGACCCTAAAATTGTGCGTAATACGTCTCACTATGTGTAGTACGAAATTTAAAAATGCGCTTTAAACAATATTTATTTTGGTAAAATATTACAGCGCTCTATATTTAAAATCATTGCTTTATATTTTGTATTAATAAATTAAAAGCAATAGGTTATAATATTATATAATACAATATAATATCAATAAATAATAATATAATATTAGAGTTAATGAAATCATTTTTTTTTTTTTTTTTTTTTTTTTTTTATCAATAAATAATAACTTAATTTAGTTCACGATTATAAAATAATATATTTATACATAGGTATTGCTATTAAATTTGTATTATGCGTTTTTTGAATAAATTAATCCACAAGCATTGGCGCTAGTTTTTAGAGCATTGGTTTAGATTTGGTCGATTCGAGACTATGTGTGTAGTACGAAAATTTAGATATTTTAGGGGCTGGACTACTATGTTATTATAATTATTAGAAATTACTATAATTTTCATCGTACGTTTTCTCGGCTTGTATGCTTATCGCGTATAATACAATTGGCGAAGGGAATTCGAGAACCAGATCCGGGTACTGTACACGTGACAATATTATTTATTGTTATTTATTAATTTTACCTACCAGCTGGCGGCTACCATTTTTTCAGTAAATTAAATGATATCATGTTGTCAAGTATATAGACTATGGACTCATGGTAAATCCATATGACATTATGGTAGATTATATTAAATATTTATAATATAATTTAATTTTTGTTAAATAAAAATTTGATAACGTCGCACCCAATTTCACGCACAATCGTACACCTTTGAATAGTTAAAATAATGTCCTTTGTTATTCTGGCACCATGCTCAATCGTATACGATTTATATATGAGTACCCCCCCCCCCCCCCCAAAAAAAAAAATGCACGTAATTTTACTACGCCGCATGTGATTATGACATTAAATAATAGTAATATTAAATCTGTGGCTTTTGAAATACCCCGTGGCCAATTTTTATATTTAAAAAATATATAAAAAAATATAATGGATTCCAAAATACTCGTTTTTAAATTTCATGATGTTTTGTTATTCTATTTTTTTTTTTTATTTCTTATCGTCAACGTAATATCCACTTCTGTAATTTCTCAATTTAGTTAATTTTGATAAATCAGATTTATAATTTCCCAACACACACATTATAATTTATATTATACATATAATATTATATTATGTAGATCAATAAACAATTAAATAAAAATAAAAAATAATTATTTTAAGTGTACATATTAATAAAAAAAAATTATACATAATATTTTAATTATCATACTTATTATATAAATTTATAAATAATTTTAGTTAATATATTTAAAATGTAAGCGTTTATAGTTTATCTATGAATATAGCCATAAAAAAAAATATTTATGTCCTATACTTATAAATTATCTTTAAACATAATGATTAAATTTAAATATGGTTATCTTTCAATTTTGAATTAAACATAATTTAAACACGAATATCTATTATTCTATCATTATTTATTTATCGATCATTTAAATAATTTTTTGATGATCTTCCCAGTTGACCCACGTATTGTTGTACAAAGCAGGATTTGCATTTTTGGAACTTCTCACGTTCATGGGCTTGCATGCAGATTCTCTGAATTTTTCCAGAGAAGTCTCGAAATAGTCGATTTTTGCCTGTACAAATTTTCTCATTTTGCTGTTAGGTTTATAATTTAAATTGACTTGTTCACAAGGGTCTTTAACAATGTGAAATAAACACGAATTGATGAACGGCTTGCACGGTTTCATATCTTTTTCGAAATTACACCGTACTGTCGAAATGTTGCGAATTGACGCGATCAGTGACGGCGTTAATCGATCTCCGTTTATTTCTGATAATATGCTGGCTGTAGTGCTGTTTAATACAGCATCGACATTATAATGGAGTTCACTCGGAGATAATGATCCTGACCAATAGTCAAGATAACCCAAAAATGTACTCCCTATAATAATTAACAGTATTAAAACATTATAAGTATACATGATACAAACATAAATTATAAGTATACTATCATAATATAAACGATTCGAGTTTTTCAATAATACACGTGAAGAATATTTGTAATTTCATACTTAGGTAAAGCATATGTTATTGAAAATCTCAAAATACGTTTTAAAAAATTGTACTTAGATAGTCAGATATTAATTATTGAAGAGCCTATGTAGATAAATGATTAATATAAATTAAATTAAAATGATAAAACACTATCTTTTATATTATGTGTTTGTGGTGTTCTCAATTTCGTCAGAGAAATAATTTTGGATAGTAATGTTATCATAGCTGTTGCCTATTTCCAATGCGTACTAAATGAGCACTATATCTGAACCAGTATAAAAAAATAATAATTTGAATATACATAAATTATATCATATTAATCTTTACCCGTGTTTAACGTATTTACTTTATTTATTTATTTATTTATTATTTAAAATTACATTAATTACCTAATATTATTAACATGCATTCATTAAATAGGCAAGTTATATATTTTTTATTGATTATTATTGAGCAGTTATATTTTTTTTTTCAAAAATAGTATCTAAAAGTTAAATACTATACTAATTAAATGTGCGTCTATTGTACATAATATAAATAAAAATATAAAATGCCTTCACATATAGATGAAATTAAGAAGTGTAACGAAAACAATATAATGTGAAAAACGGTGATTAATAATTAATAAAACAGACGATTTTTACTAAAACGCCATTTGGAAAAAATTACATCTGCATCATTTTTGGTTTAATCGTGAAATGCCTACTTTTAATACAATTTTAATGACTGTAAACGAAGACAAGAATTAACCAAATTTTTTAAAGACGTTCTCATGTAGTATTTTAAAACACCTAAATTTTGAACATTTAAAAAAAAATAGGACTAGTATACTAATCAAACAATACGATATGTGTGTTGGCGCCAAATATATTTGGAGTCGACCAAGCATTTTTGGCTTAGTGGAGAATATAGTATATAATATAATATACCCTATTGTAATAAATTACTTCAATAAAACCCATGTCAATACGGGTGAAACGAACAGGCAACCATTGAACCATGGACTACCACAACAATAAATTCACCCCATGTCGCATCCTTCGAGAACCCTATGTCAGACAAAAAGAACATTCCAAGAAGGGAAAGCGATTATTTGTATTAAACATCTGTCGATTTCGTTCTTGGAAGCCTATTGTCATTTGAGTCAAAAGAAAAGGACGTTGGACCACCACGATAAGATACGTTTTTCAGCTGCTCTTCACAAAAATCTTACCACTAGGTGGTAAAAAAAAACGCAGTAATACTAATGGATAAATGCCTTACAGTTTACACCATAATATTTAGTAAAATATATTAGTCGACTTATTTATTTTGCACATTATATATTTTAGCATTTCAGTATTTCGTGTATGATTTTAAACTTACCTTTTATGTATTTGAAATTAGTATCTCTGATTGCCGCGTAACCAGTTACGTCGTCAATATTATGCAACACTAGTTTTCTAGGAGAGTTTTTATTACTTAAAAACGATTCCCACATACTAATGCCATCAATAGCACCAAGATCTTCAGTATTTCCACCTGAAAATATTTTATTCACAGAATGTAAATAATGCTAAAAACTAATATAAATTACTTATTTTTATGTATTAATATAACGGGGTGAAAGGACGCAAGACTTAATTTGACTGTAATTTTTCATCATTTAAAATCTGTTTATTTATTTATTTCATATGAAATAATATAGAGTTTACGTTGGTGCGTTTTACATAGCTGCGTCTCTTAAAGATATGCGTATACGAATCGCACCCCATATTATATATCAGGCAGGTAGTAACATTTTTTTCACAGGGGTTCTCCATCGTATATATCTATAGAAATGTGGGCTCCGATATTATTATTCGATACCCGGCACATCGGTCTTTGCACACGCTATTGTAAAAAAAAAGGACCCGCTACGACAGTGTACATATTCTTGAACAACAATGTTTCCATAAAACCCGTAAATAAAACGGCATGCTTCTGACACGCATAACTATAAATCTAGTTAATTAATTGACATCTAGTTTATGTCAAAAAATTACAAATTTTCCCGAGAAGTGCCTCTTTCTAATTTTACGTAAATCGGTTCAATAAAACGGAAGTTATGGATTAAAACGTTTGGAATTTTTACAAAAAAAAATATACGGATTCTGTCCGTTTCTGTTCGTATGCGCAGGCACGAGCACGATGCTACGGCGTCGCCGGCGGCTCCCCATCCCCGCACAATGTTGTTTACTCAGAATATCGTTTAGATACAATAGGCGAAAAGAATTCGAGGACCGGCTCCGGGACCGTACACATGACATTATTATTTATTATCCTTGTTTTCATTTCGGATTATTTTCACCATTTATCGTTAACGTTTATGGCGCAGCACGTTTTCGACAAAAATATTACTTAGCTGGCGCACGAATCACGTACCTACTATGCAGACCCTAAAATCGTGTGTAATACGAAATTTAAAAATGCGCTTTAACCAATATTTATTTTGGTAAAATATTATTAAATATATTTAAAATCATGGCTTTATTTGTATTAATACATTAAAAGCAATAGGTTATAATATTATATAATACAATATAATATCAATAAATAATAACTTAATTTAGTTCACGATTATAAAATAATATATTTATACATAGGTATTGCTATTAAATTTGTATTATGCGTTTTTTGAATAAATTAATCCACAAGCATTGGCGCTAGTTTTTAGAGCATTAATTCAAATTTGGCCGATTCGGGATTATGTGTGTAGTACGAAAATTTGGATTTTTTAGGGGCTGGACTACTATGTTATTATAATTATTAGAAATTACTATAATTTTCATCGTACGTTTTCTCGGCCCGTATATGCTTATCACGTATACAGGTGTGATTCCTATACGCGCGTCTAGAAACGTGCGACCGACGCGGCGCGATTTTATTTTAGCCGCGTAGATACTACTTTCCTTGATTTTAGATGTAACCGATTCCTATGACCGCGGTCACCGCGAGCGACGACGACCGCTTCGAGAGCAATCAAATCGCACGAGCCGCGCGGCTAATAACTAATATATAATTCATATTTTAATTAATTTTCAAAGTTCGACAATTTTTTGAACACTGTGTGACACAAAATTCTTCAAAAGTATTATTCGCAGTAGAACTAATAATAATAATAATAATAATAATAATAATAATAATATTTAAAAAAAACACACTTATGAATATACAAGCGCAACTCAACTAAACATAGAATTTGATACAACTGCGTGTACGTGTCTAATTATTTTAGTAGCACGTCTTCTGACGCGTACATAGGAATCAATATTATACCACGCGGCTAAATTAATGACCGCGCGGCCAAAATTCAAATCGCGCTGCGTCGGCCGCGAGTCTCTATAGACGCGTGCACGGGAATCGCACCTTAATACGTCTGGAAATACGTCATAATATGGTGCCTGATAGTCGGCAACAAGCGGCGCGAAGTCTTTCGACAACTTTTGTGTAGTATGTGTGTGAGAACACAAAGCTTATAAACTGTTTGAAAAACTATTATTTTTGGCGAATATAGAGCGTTTTTCAATACGTGTGATATTACAATCATATGACTATTTGTTATTATATAATTGAGCTGCGTACCAGTGACGGGTCTAGTATTTAATTCCATGGGGAGGGCAGGGGGCATAAACATTATACACATTTTTTTCAAATATTTTATAATATATTTAATTAAATGATTGAAAACCAGTGTCATATATTACTCACATTAGCTAGTCATTAGTATAAAATATTATACAAAATAAATATTATGTATACATAATAATTACATTTTATAAAACATAATCTAATTTTTGATTTTTATGTATAGAAAATCGATCTATAGATATGTCTCGATACGGTAAAATATTTTACTAGAGTAAATCTCGGTCGTCTGCTCGCGTAAAATCAACGTGGTAAAATTAAGCTACAAGCATTCAAACGATATTACATACTCTGAACGTCTGAATAGAGAACCCGAGAGTCCCTACAAGAAAACCACGTACATACTACGAACTGGCCAACTAGTGTACTACGCGAAAATATAAGATACCGATTAACGAGAATTTACAATTAAATGATATATAATGATATACTATAATATAATAGGTATAGGTAATATATTTTTTTCCGAGGGGGGGGACATGGCCCCCTAACACTATCTAGAGCCGCCACTGATGCGTACATACTAGTAACATTTGCTCGTAACGTAGACGTACTAGTAACCCTACCAAGCAACAATCTTTTGATGCGACTCGAATTCTTCGACAACTCGAGAAACGCGATGTAACGGTGTTACGCCTTTACGTTCTCACATCTATTGCTGTTACGCGTCTACGTATAACGTTATTACGCGCAAATATTACAAGTGCGCAGGCACCTTAAAAAGTGACAATAATCAGTTACAATACAACGGCTTAAATGTTAAAAGCTCTGAAAAAAGATATTGTTTTAGTTTGAATATGAAGTAAATGCCATTAAATCGATGTCTAGTATCTAGTATAATTAGTACGTTTAGTATAACTTTATAATTTATGAGTAACGAGTACATATTCAACAAGTGATAAGTTATAAAATAAATGTAATAATGAATTGTTTAAGAATCCTCAATTAAAATACATGAATTGTATCCCGAATACTTTGGGACGCGATTTGTGCTATCTTTTTACGGGACGCAACTCGTGTGCTCCTGTTTATGTGACGAGTTACAGGTAAATAGGTAATGTAAGGATTTGGATAATGACAGCATTATACTAATTAGTACTTATTCACTAAAAACTAAATTGTATACTTATGAGAAATTTTTATATTGCCAGCACTAAAAAAGTAATCAATACGTATATGTGTTTACTCGTTTTATTATGACAGAAATGCAAAACCAAATTTTTATATTATTTTATTTAGGCACTTAATCCTTTTATCAGATTGAGTTAATAAAAAATATCTTATTATGATCCTGGACGTATAATAAAACAAATTTGTTATTTTAAAAATAATATGTTACATTTAATATTTTGGTTTGTTAAATTTAAAAAATGAATTTATTACATTAACAAAATTTTTGTTCCGAGTGCCTGGGCGCCTTGTTGAACACAAGTTTATGCCTTAATTTCCAACGTGTTCATACCATATGACGTATTCACAGTGCGCGCGCAGTGTTTTATATTTTACAAAGATTTAAACTTTTAATTGTGGACAAATCTAACTATAAATATTTCATTGTACTATAAATATTATAATATTAGCAAAATTGAGTAATTCATCTGTGAGTTAAATGTATGTACCACCATTGCCATAGCTTGTTTACCAAATTATACACTTATTAGGGCCGTTTAATTTGTACAAACATTATTGATACAATTTATAGAAATTTATTGATATTTGACAAAATTTCTATGATGATAAAAATAAGTTATCTGTTACCTATTAAAATCTATCATTATTTTTTATGTTACATTTTTTCTTTTAATTATTAGTTTATTAGTCTTACTTAACCAATTAAAATTAAATATTTAATATTAGATACTAATTATTCTTATTTATTTTATTGTAAAATAATTATTATAAATATTTATTGCAAAATATGAAATATTTTAATAGTATGTCACCATTACACAAAAGTTGAGAAACACTAACTTAGAAAATGATTGTTTAATATTACGTTTTTCGACTATTCACATTATTATTTATCGATTTTATTTTTAGTTTTTGTCATTAAATATTAAGTATGATTTTATTTCGAATATCAATAAAACGCCTTAACTCTTCGCAATAGATATCAAATAATATTAAAGTCTTAATATTTGTGCCTTACGTGTTGGGAACTAAAGAAGAATGACGTACTTATAACCAAAGCTGATAAAAGAAATGTAACTATAAATACAAATATTTAATACATATTATCACCAATCGTTATTTACTTTCAGAAAAAATAAATAATAACCAATGTAATTAGAAATATATAATCATTTACCTGCTGCCTCATATAATGTAGGTAACCAATCAGAAATATGCATTAATTGATTTGGAAGTGTTTTTCTTTTCGTTAATAATTTACTCCATACAAATGCTGCAGTTCGAATACCACCTTCCCAGGGTGTAGCTTTTTCCTTTAACAAAACACGAATCATAGTTATTGATAGATACTTATGTTTACTAATTAGTTAATCAAATATTCTCTGACTCAATAAAATTGAAAAATACTAATTTTAATTTATAAAATATATATTTATAGGACTAAGGAAATACATAATATTTAATATTTTATAATTGGCAATATAAACGTACAGATATATTTTACTATAGGTATATTATTATATTAATATTATTTAACTTTATTAAAGCTTACTCCTTTTAACGGCCAATTGGAACCATAATTTCTGTGGATCCCATTAGTTGGAGCACCGTTGTCCGAAATAAATACGAATATTGTATTATCAAGCATATTGTTTTTATGTAATGCATTAAACACTTCAGCCACCGATTCATCAAGATTCGTAATCATTCCTAAAGGGCATTTAGGACAACTGTATTAATAATTGACTATTGTTATAGTAAGACATAAAATATGACCATTTAAAAAGTAAATTAAACAAATCAATTACAAATTAATACAACACTTAGATATTCCATGAAGAAAAAAAATATTCATGTTTTTATATTTATACGTATTAGCCTGTAGGTTAAATATTAATAATAATAAGTGTAGTATAATGATACAAGTGTAATAAATTTATAAATGATTAATTGTTACATACCAGCATATTTACGGCGGTTCTTGTCTTTGATTGATTGAAACTTATTTATGTCTTCTTGGGGTGCTTGTAATGGATTTTCGTAAGTACCTGCGTGAGGAGCTAAATGGGCTAGGTACAAAAACAAGGGCACAGAATTATTATGTTTCGATATAATATCAGTAGCTTCTTTGGTGAATAAATGTGTCGAATATTTCCCAACACTTGACCAGTCAGGATTTAAATCACGTCTCATATCAAACCCTTCAAAAGAAGCAAACTATAATACAACAAATAATAAATAATGATGAAAATATAATTCAAATTAAACGCTGACAAAAATTATAAACAATAGTATTAAGAACCGTTGCGAAGAATATTTTTATTTTCTATAAATATATTTTGTTATTACAAAATTTACATTTATTTACGAGTATACCATATTATAATAGTATATATTTTGCATAATAAAAAAAATAGCAATCAATCTTTCACGTTTAGTTAGCTACTTATTATAATAGACCAGCCACAGGCAAGTTATATTTGCTATGAATTATGATGTATATATTATTGTACTGTTAAAGTTTATATTATATATTGGCATAATGTAATAACCAATAATTACATTAAAGATACTGTCATATTACGTCTCCTATTATAAATTTTATAAAATAAATGTAAAAAATGTATGAATTTAATTAAAAGTAAAACTAACAATAATAATTTAACTTGCATAGAAAAATTATAAAAAGCTTCTCGGAAATTTAAAAAAAATATTGATAAATTTACTGTATATTTTATTATACTTTTATAACATATTTTATCAAAACAAAATACATGTTTAACTGTTAGATTATTAAAAATAAATACTATTCCTAGTATTATATATATATATTAAAAATGTTAATAGTTAATACTAACGAGGTGTATACTGAACAAATATGTTTGCCTTAAAAATTAGCCGTTTTTTGTTATGAAACCTTTAAAGTGGAAAACTTATTTGCTGTATTTAAAATTAAAAAATAAAAAATAAAAAAATTTAATTATTATAAGTAGCTTTTTATAATGACATTTTAGTTGAAACATTTCGCCAATAAAAATTATTCACTTAATATAATATGAATATACAAATAGATTTTCTTAAAATGTACAGGCTTTATATTTTTGCAATGGATCTGTAATATTTTAAGTAATATCATTAAATAAATATATTTGTAAATTATACTTAAATGACAAAAATTAAAAATAGTATTTAATATATATTTCATAGGAAATAGATAATAGTTATACTTACGGTTGCTTGGACCATATGTGTATAATAATCTTGATATCCATTCCAGAAACCATAAAAGCTTTTAAAACCTCGATATGTAGGCGTGTAAGCTTTCTTGAAGTAACCCAAATGCCATTTACCCACGGCATGAGATGTATAACCTAGTTTATTTAAACGTTCAGGCAGTAATATTTCATTCAATGGTAATCCCCAAGGTTCGGGCTCTAATATCACATTATGTTGAGTTCCTGAAAAATGGAAAAGTTACAAAAATATGTAATAGATGTTATTAAAATATTTTTTAGTAATATTTTTAAGTAATTATCACATGAAATAATATTGTGCAAAAATTTAAAATTCAAGCAGACCCACTTTTAAAATCCATTCAGTATTTATTTTATATTAAAATAAAACTAAGGGTAATTATATCATAATTTGTGGTATTACCAATAAAAAGAGCAAGAAAATTAGTATAGGTACTCAAAAATCATATGTGCTTATACAACAAAAAATTTAAAATACGCTGTTAAAAAAAAAAAAAAACTACAACTAAATATATTTATTGAACCATCGTCCATGTCACGTACTATCCATAATAATATTCAAAAATTTACATAATATAGTTCGATTAACATTCATAAAATGCACTTAAAAATCAATATATACTTTTCAATTCAAAAATATGACTTTTAAATCCAATTTGTTTTTTTTTTTAGATGCATTATATTGAAATATGATCACAAGTGTATATTGTATTTTGTAATTACTAAACGATTAATAAAATTAACCAGAAAATATGTAAAAATGTATGAAAATTCTAACTTTAATAATAAATAATCGAATAAACTTATGTACAGAGTGTAATAGAAAAACCTAAAAAATGAAATAATTCTTGCTCTTAACGATATTTTACAAAGTCTATTTAATATTTATACTTAAAATTTGCAGAAACTTGTGTTACAAGTACAACAATACAGTAAAATTTTTATTAATTTTTATTAATTTTTCATTTTTATTTGTCAGATCTTTCTGTTATAATCCTGTAAACGTGTACAAAAAATATCCCATCACATGTGTATATTATTAATATACAACAGTATTAAATGTATGTACTATCATTGATTATAATATATTATAATATATATCATATTATATTATAATTATGATATATAATTATTTATAAATTTTTTACAATAGTGATGTAAATTAAATATTAGCTTAGTAATTATATATAGTAAATATATATAAAAGATAATGTCAGTTTCGTTAATCAAATAAAAAAAATCCTAATAAATTAAACGTGTATTGAAATAAATTTAATACTCGTTACAATACTACATGGTCAATTATAACAGTACCAAGTCCAAATAATGTTTTAGTAAGAATCTTAATCAGAATTCAATAATGCTTATATTATAATTAATTTAATCAATGATGGTAAACTGTGACTCATATTAATGTAGATAGATATACAGTACCGATTTATCTATCTAGTTAGTATAAATATTATAATTTAGGGACTTTAAGTCAACAGTTAATGTGCATCCGGTAATTATAGTAGATAATATTTGATGTTTGATTAATTTATTACAAAAATATTATAATAAGATAATCATTCATATTTTCTTAAATAACGATTTTAAGTCACTTCATGACTGTATTAACCTTGACTAAACTCTATAACTAATGTGGACTTCAAAATAAAAATGATCAAACTTTGCATTAACAGATAAACGATTCTTATCAAATCTCTACAGTTTACAATGACATTATTCTTTTCATTATTATAATGAGTTAATATTATTTTATTTTATTTTGATTTTATCATTTGTTATAATATTATAGTAATAAAAGTAGGTGTATAATGATTTTTGAAATTTTGTTTTTAAATACGATAATATAGGAGTTGGATTAATATCTAATGTGTATTTTAAATCTTCAAAAAAAAAAAAAAAAAGTGAAAAAATCAAGAAAACCAACTTATTTAAAATAATAAAATTATCAGTAAATATAAAAATTATTAAAGATTTCTAAAAATGATCAACTTTTGGCTAACCCAATATTATAACTTTAAAATAATTATATTCTACCACTGGTTTTTAGTTTCTATACACGATGAAAATTCGTTAAACAGTTTTCACGGTTACTATAAAACCATAGATTAAATATACTAATCATATTTAATCTATGTTAAAACTTATATTGATTTATCGTAAATCTTACAGGGAGTCAAGTCAATTTCTACTTCCAAGTAAAACTTTCTTTTTTTTTAATGTTAATCCACATACCATAGAAAAAAAAAGCTTAAAATTAATCTAAATTTGTCGCGTATAGTAAAGATAATATTCAAGATATTATACTATATATACAGTTATAAACAATTTTCAATTGTAATATTTAAAAATTGAAAAATCGTTAAGTAAATTACCACTCATTTTTGAAACGGAGACAACACACGTGAAACTGACTTCCTCTCAAAGTCTTGATAGTTAATAGTTTATTCAACACTAATGACTAAACAATTTTATAATGTAACCTGTGTGTATAATATGTAATATTTGTATGTATGTATCTAAATATAATTTTTATATGTAAATTTTAAAGTATACTCCTAAGAAAAATCTTATGTATATACAAATACAACTTACAAGTGATGACACACTAATAAAATCACATCATATTCCTTGTAAGATAAATATATTAATGTACTAATGTATACATTTATTTTTATATAATTTAGGTATACCTAAAGTATATATAGATTCTACGCTCCGCTCAAAACTCAAATAAATAGTAAACTTATTAGTTATTTGATTTTACATTTATTGATTATACGGTTTAATGTTATATTAGTGGTCTAAGATGATCTGGAAAAACAGCAGTTTTTGACATGAGTAAAAAATTTAATTTTCGAGTCATTTACGTAGTAAATTAAAAATCAGACCTTAGCGACCTAATCGTTAATTAATTATAAAAGTTGAATATATTCTACTCGTTCTCAATACCCCAATTTTCAATTATTACTTAACACGTGAGCATAGTACAACATAAATTAAATAAAAATGTATTAATTTAAATTTCTACAAATATACTAATATGTTATTATTTATTGCAAATAATACTGTACCTGATAACTTTATAGTTATTATAAAATACTATTTTAAAAGGTACCTACCGACTAGCTATACAAATATAACTATAATGTTGTTATTTACAGTATATATTTAAGGTTTTATAACAATACAGTGACATAGTGTGAAATGTGCATATACAATTTAAAATATTTAAAACTAATATGATATTTGAATATAACAATTGATTGTGAGAATATTCAATAGAATAGTTGATTTCGTCATTTAATTTTTATACTTTTTCGGTACACATATAATACGTATATTAATTCGTATCTATAATGACTATATAATGCAGTCAATTTTTTGGTCTTGATTGTAACTTGTAATTAATTATATTATGGTATTAAAGTGGATTCATTTTAATACTTAATAATAAAATAAAATAGACATTATAAATTCCAGATTTATAAACTATATTAAATTACTGTTTTACTATAATATACATGATGATATTTAAAAGTGTATAGACTGCAAATATATTAATTGTGCACTCGATGACTCTAACACTATATGTCACTATACCACTATCTGTAAGCCATACCACCCATGTTCCATATACTATAAACAGTGCCATAATAATTATAATGTATTATGTACGGATCAGTATAGTAGAAGTCATGATATGTACAATAAGTAATAACAATAACAATAATAATAATAGGAATAATAATAAATAAGCAAACCAGTATGGATAGGATATTTTCCGGTCAGTAATGCTGACCGGGACGGTGTACACAAAGATTCGCTGTAATGATTGTTTAATATTATTCCATCGTACGCCAGTGCATCGATGTTGGGAGTGTTTATTTGGTTTGATCCATGAAAGCTGACATCGTTCCAACCCTATAGAATGAATAATATGGCATCTGTTAGTTCAGAATAAATAATAATATGAATGGGTAATAGTAACCTGCAATAGTTGCAATTATTGTAAATACCATCAGTTACACCATTTTTAAACCTATTTAAATTAACCCGTTACAATTTTTTTTAATTGTAAAAACATTTAAATTACACAGGTACCTATTAAATTTTGACCCATAAGACTTAAATGACCAATATTTATGTTATTTGTATTTTTAAATTTTTAAGTTAAAATTAAATTCGATTAAATAATCTTCCCAATTTAAGGCAAAAATTAATGACACTTCGTATATAATGTCATATAGGTAGACTATCACTTTTATTGTTAAAGCGCTTAATTATTGTCTATCGTCGTGAAGATTATTAAAATTATGAATTAAAAAAATTGACGTTCTGTTCTGATAAATGTATAAAGCATTATGCTTTACTTTTCCAATTATTCTTAATCATTGTTAACAACATATAATTGTTATCGTATTTATACATGTATTTCAATATTTGAGTGTATAATTTTCTATACAAATTTAAATCTAATTATTTTTATAATATCGGTGGAATTAACATTTTTTTATGTGTAGTAACTGGTGAAGTTGATATTTTTGTAGGTCATTAAAATGTATCTATTAACTTTTTATAAATATTATAAATTTGCCTCTAATTGAAAATTGATGGTGTTTATATGTGTTCGCCGGTAGCTAAATACACAGAATGGGCCTTTAGCTTAGCCGGGCTTAAAAGTTATTTAATTATACTCGGACTAGACCTGTTTTTAAAAAGGCTGAATCCAAGTTGAATGCCAAATTAGTTTGTGTTATATATTAATTCAGTTACATGTTTCTTATGTTAGTACACATTAAATAAATCTGATTTTTTTTTTAAATTTAAATCTGGTATAATAGGAAATTATGTTTTTATTTATATCGTTAACTAATAATAACAATGTTCTTCTCGGTTTAACATTAATTCGAAAAAAAATTAAATTTTTAATACCTACCTTATTTAAACTTTTTTAAATTATTAATTACACACTTCTTCTAACGAGATGAATATTTTATTTTATAAGTTATAACAGCGTACAATTATAATATGTTATGGAATCATAAAGTGTTTAAATGTATAGATTTAGTTCAGAATATAGAACTCAGAGTATTATTCATACATTAAAATCATTCATAAATATTAATTTGAGCGTTTTTAAAACAAAAAAAAAGTTATATTTTTAAATTTAAAGTATAATATAGGTACATATTATAATAAGAATACATACGTACGAAACGTAATAATTTGATTAAATACTTCAAAAAATATAATCGTATGAATGTAAGATCAAAAAATACATTCAATTTAATTCTTATTTCAAGTAAATTTAAAATTCTCATTAATATTTAGTTAGATAGATCAAATACATTTGTATATATAATATTTATTTAATATAATATAATATTTAATTACATTTATTTATTTACGCCCGAAGACAAGAGTGCACATGAATTAAATTTATAATTAACTTATGACGAATTTTAAATTCAGAATCATAGTTAAAGTCGAAACTATCGAGACTGTTGCAAACCCGAAGCATACTACTTTTTGGTTTATTAAAACTATATAATTGACTGTGGAAAGACTCATAAAGAACAGTTTTTGAATATATTTTTTAATTCGTGTTTCTTTATGTAGCATACGAGTTGGTTTAAAATTAAAAGTATTTATTTCACTTTATAATAATTAATAACAATACCTATATACCAAGAATGTAAATAATTTAATCAGATACTAATATTAGCTCTGAACTAAAAATAATTAAGGATTATTATTATTTTTTAATTAAAAACATTAAAAATGTAAGTGAAACAAAAATAGGAAATAATGAAAAATTATGTATAACATTGTATGATATAAAAGGCTAACAATTTTATCATAGATACATGAATAACGGGAAATCTATTTATCTATATATTATATAAAATAATAAGAATAATTTGATTTAAATTTAAATATATATTATAATATTATACTCGGGTACCTATTGTTTATTATATTTTTTTCTAACCGTGCGCTTCACTGAACTTTTTACGATTAATACTTTAGTCTGATCGGGCTGAAAAGACTTTAATAGAACATTAAAATACTTATTATCTTTATACACGCGTACTGCGCTTTTTTTATAAAAACACTTACCAAGTCATCGGCCAACACGAAAACTATATGAGGAGGATTTTGTTTCGCGGCGAACACTTTGGCACAGGTCACCAAGCTACTTAACATAATCACACAATTCACGTAACAGAACATGATTTATATAAAATGCAAAATGTTTTAATTTCTTGACACGCATATAAAAAAATTGATAAAAAATTTGATCGTTTTAAAAATTAAAATGTTTAATTTCCACGAAATAATTTCAAGATAGAAATAAGCATAGCGCATTCTCGATAAATCGTACTGGCGTTTTATAAACGTATGATAAAAAACCAAGAGAACAAGCGAAGGTTTAGATGGCAATTATAATACAAAATAAATATGGCCCAACTACACCTCGTCCACTGTGTGCATAATATAAACTACTGTTTAAAATTTACAATACTGCGTTTAAGAAATAGTAAAAATATGACAATGAAAGAATACGTTAACACTGAACAACGAACGTCCTACAAGTATCTATTACAAAATAATATCTTAAGAATAATATCCGTATTACCTTCGTGATTATAGTCCGGCATTTATCTTCAAGGTCAAAAACTCGTAAGCCGACTGACAATTCTGGCTTATAGAATTTATTATATCTATATAGAGTCATTTGTTTAAATTAGGTAGTTATATACCTACTACTGTACAACACTCATTAATTCAAGTCCACGTCATACTCCTAAGACGCTTATTACCATTAAAATAATCAAGAATAATAATTTAATAAATGTTTATGCTCGAATCGCCGAGTAGATGGATACGTCGTGTCATCAACACTATGGTTATGTACATTTTAACATGCATTCGTGCAATCGTATTGATATTGTAATATATTATATATTTATATAAAATGTGATCAAAAATTTCACTAATATTATATAACATAAATATATTAAATATTAATATATTACATTATTTTCATTGCCAATGTGTCAGACGCAATAATGCATTGTAGAACTACGCGTCGACGCATAGCAAAGTTAAGTCAACAAAATCGTCAATCATAATAAAAATAAATTTAAACTGGTTTAAGCATCGTGTATTAATTAATTTAAAACGCGTATTTTATTTTTTACGATTATAACATTATATATTATAATGGCTCTCACGAATATCTAAAATAACGTAACCGGAGTTTTGTTAAAAATACCTACTTAATAACATGAATAATAAACGATTGCGATGAAACTGGATAGTATAAATACACGTTTAGGCTCGAGTTGTTATAATACATGGTTCAATGTTTAAATTTAATATACCATAATATAGCCATTAGTCAATACTCAATAGGTAGTCATGTATATTATATATTTAAACAGATAGTGCATAAAAGCATATCTATCCGAAGCGTGTGCTGTATGAAATGCATGGTACTCGTATAAAGTGAACATGGACAATTTATATTATAAGGTCATCGTACTCACATGTGTTGTCTTGCGAACTTATGTCAGTATCCATAATATATTATAATCGTTGTGTCATATATTTACGTTCAGCAATTCCAATTTTGTGTTAGTTTAAATATTAAAGAGAATTGACCTATTATAAAATTTAAAGCTAAGAATATACTAATATATATGTATAATAATAATATATAATATATATATAATATTACCTATCTGTGGTTTTTTTTGTTGATATTTTACGATACTTTAATTTTATACTTAATCGTGAGTGATGCATATGTAAAAATAAGTATTAATATTTAAAAACGATTACATGTTTGTAATCAAAACTTAAAAAAATAAATAATATTGTATAAAATTAACAACAGAACACAGACAATATTTTTACTTTTAAGCTGTTCTTTGATTCACTTCAATATTATAGCTATCAATCCAAAATTGGAACTACTGAACTAAAATTTTACTACACATGCGTCCTCTTAAAATATAACAACCGAGATTGATTAATGATAAATTGTGTGGTGTGCAGGATAAATCGTAAAAGATGTTATACAAATTATAGATCAGTAACGATAATTATACTATTTTAAATTAATTAGATATATTTATTATTATAATAACAATTTAATATTAATAATTTAATTAATGCAATATTTTCTAGAAAAATTAAATCAATCTATCTTAATTCTAATAGTAAAATAAATAATTTAAATATAAATATCAAAAAACATATCATGAAATGTATTTAATCACTTACTAATTCAGAATCATTTTTCATATATAATGATAGGTGTATATCATTGAATTAAAATTTAGCACATCCGTTACAGATTACTGCAGTGACCCATTCGACAGTTGACACTCAGTGTACAGCAGAGTAGACCTATTCGTCCATTTTTCTATGATATATAACTTTTTGCAAAAATATAAAACAGTTCAACAATATTATTGTACCTAAACAAAAAACGATTCTAAGTGGTGACGGTCTATCAGCCTATATTTCTAATAATATTAAATTTAAATATTTGCATTACTACTCGTATTAGTAATACAGAATTTTAAAGCTAAAGCTTATTTTTGCTAAAAACAAATCACAAATATTGTATAATAAGAATGTTATTCCATACAAAATTTTTAGCTGTAATGAAATACTGCATAGAATACTAGAATGATGTAAATATAGGTTCGTGCTATATAAATATACATGTGTATATGTGTGTGTGTGTGTGTGCGCGCACGTGTGTATATATATATATATATATTATAATTATATTAAAATAATTAATCAAAATATTTTAAAAACGTCATTGTGTATAGTATAATATAATAATATAATAGCGAAAAGTGTTAAGTGAGTTCTTATAAAATACGAATAACATTTAAAATTTTTTTTTTATCAATTAATTAAACTTTTACAATAAGCATTGATACCTAATATTATACATATTACATAGATAATACATTATGAATAATTTTAACCCCGAAAAGAATAACAGGTAATGGGACATTTGAGTTATAAAAAAATACAAAAAAATAACAAATTAGGTACATGCAGATAAATATTTTAGTTAAGAGGACGTCGCGTCGCACCCGCATGTGTTATCACCGTCTTACACACGTATGACATGGTAAATTTTCGTTCACCAGTTTCAATAACGTACTTTTAGTTTTGATGTTAGAGTAAATAGACCTATAATTAAACTTTTAGGTAAGAATGTGAAATTATGTGTATAAATTATTAGTGAATTATGAGCATTTTCAAATATTTATATTTTTTATACTCATAATTCATTTAAAAATTAAAATATCGTAAAAAACCAACGAGAGAACACAGATAATGTTCTTACCTAAAAGTTTAATTATAGGTCTATTTACTCTAACATCAAAACTAAAAATATGTTATTGAAACTGGTGAACGAAAATTTACCATGTCATACGTGTGTAAGACGGTGACAACACATGCGCGGGTGGACGTCCTCTCAATGTATTGTTCCTATATCTAATATGTATAATACAATTCAATTATTGGTTCATCGTTTATTATTTATACAAGTTAATTTAATAAATAAGTTTTAATAATTATTTGAATGTACAACAGGTATCAAAATACATAATTGTTTATTTGTATACCGTATATTTTTTATATGCTTAAAATATTAAAACAGTAAAATGTTGTTAATTTTCTCGTTTAATTATTATTTATTTGGAAATATTAGCGAATGATAAATGGATTATAAAAACTTAAACTAGTAAAACTTTTAAAGTGTTTTAAATTAATAATTTTGATCCCTGTATTTTTTTTCTGTGCAAATATATTCCTACAGCTAGATTCTATTGCACTATTTAAGGTCTTGTTTAATTTTCTGCACACCCTCCCAATACTATTAAGCCATACTACATGATACACTTATATAAAGCATCAAGTTTAGTACGGTTAACTTCCAGTCACCAAAGATTTTATTTAGGACATAGAATTTTATAATTTTTAAAGTATTAATTTTATGCGTATACTGCGTATTCTAAATATTTAAACTGAATTTTAAATTGTAATTAATAGGTAATTAATTATATTTTATTCTAGTTAACTTAATTATTTTCTGACAGTCACAAGAAATGGAATAAATATTATTATTACATGAAAGAATAAGACCTATGTCATTAATAAGAATAAATGTGTCGTTAATAAAAAAAGCAACAAAATTAGATTTCATACTAAAAATTAATTTTTTACTATTTAAATATTGAAATAATCTATTTAGGTTTAAAATAGTTTTTTTTTTTGTATCATTTTCTATCATGTATCAGAAGAAGGCAAATTATGTCAGCAAAGGTACAACCATTAATCTACCTACATTTAGATTACAAATACAAAAAATGTATAAGATAAATAAACTGTATCCCAATATACAGTATCTTATAGCACACCAAAAGCCAAAAGCAATCTACTTTTGAATATTCAAAACATTTTAATTGAAATTATTTGTATTCTATCGATTAGTTAGCTCAAGAATTAAATGAGACTTACTCAATTTATTCTAAAATTAAATAAAATATTACTTTTCATTTATGATCTCATGCAGTGTCAAAAACTTTGGTTAAATTTATAAACATCACTATGATTTTATTCGCTGTTATCTAATTATTTATACACGTATAATTTTAGTTTTTGAATAAAAAGAATTTGTAATATCTATACCAGATCAAAAAACTAAACTAAATTTTTTTTATATTTATATTCCACCGACTCATTTATTATTGTATTGTATAACAATTAAACTGATATTTATAGTAAATTCATAACAAAAAACGTTGTTGAATATTCAAACCATAACACACGTATATGTATATTATTTATATATTTATTTAGTTATTATGATCAAGACAAATTCATATTGGTAACATACATGTCTTTTCAAAGAAGTCTAATTAAACTTATACATTGTCATATCGGTACTATTGGAAATAAAAGTTAAGTCTTATAGATTATATTCTTAAATTTTCTATCATTTCTAAGTGTCTAAGTGTTAACAAAAATTTCACTAAAGTACATCTTAATATATTTTTGTTTTCATATAATATATTAAAATTAAAAGTAATAAATATAAACTGATTCGTACATAATATATAATGGAAAAAATAAATACAAATAAAGTCATTAAAAACAAAAGTTTTGCATTGAAATAAAATGTATAACAAAAATTATTGACGATTATTTAAATAAAATAAAATAATAGATTCACTTATAAACACTAACATCAAATCACTATTTAAAAAAATAACAATTTAATTTAATTTTGTAACAAATCTTACATTATATACAGTAGACGCCGCTTATAAGACTCACGGATATAAGGTTCAGTCGCTTATTAGACTCAAAATCGTCTGGAACGGTCCGGACGTATCCAAATACATTAAAAAAAAATCGGTTTTAAGGCTCAACACTTCGGTTATCAGACTCAAATTTCGTAAAATAAATAGTAGAAAATAAACTTTTTTGGTTATAATTTAGAAATAAATTGGTTTTGAAAAATGAAATAATATTCGTGTTGATTATTTCTAGTTTCTGTTGGTACCTTATAACGTATAATAATTTTTATCGTAGATAAAAGTTCACATTTATCGCAACGATAATTATAACGATTATAATTTTAGTTTTTTTTTATCGGAATTATTAAATTTATTCAATAATAAAGTATGTAATATGTAATATGTGTTAATGTATTAAAATCAAAGCAAAATATGTAGTAAAATAAAATTTATAAATACGTAATTAATTTTTTTTTCCACTTCGCCTATAAGATTCATTCGATTATAAAACTCACTTTGTGCTGGTCCCAAAGTGAGTCCTATAAGCGGCGTCTACTGTATTTTATTATTTTTTTTACCATACCATATATATTTGGGTTTTCTTATTGTAGACGACAATATGATGATCATTTAAGTAATAAAAAATAATAGTTAGGTATTTTTAAATTATATTTTTTTTATGTATTATATTGTATTATAACTATTTTAACTTATTCGTAGCTTGTAGTATTATTACTAGGGATGAGAAGTTATAGGATTTGCATATTTTTTTCTGTATCTTCTATTTATAGCTAGATGAGCTAAAAATCTGTTTTATAACTTAATGAATCGAAATTTGGTATTTAAATTTTGCATATTTTTGCATATATTGGTAGTTTACTTAAAAGTTGCATATTCATGTTTTTTTTGTGCATAAAAATGCATATTTAGTAAAATTATGTGAAATTTAATACAACTGACATGAAAAGTTTATTATTTTATAGAATTGTATGTGTTCGTAGTCTGCAATAATCAATAAAATAAAAATGCAGATAGCAAATTTGAAAATTGTAGAATTGTAACATTTAATAGTAGGTAGGTATATAAAAGTAAATTTAGGATTAGTATCTTATCTAATCGTTTATTACTCAATTAGTCTGACTAGTGACAATCGTTGTTGTATAATCTTCTAATCGTTTATAGATATTTCAATATAATATGTGAGTGTTTGACGTCTTTACGTTATTTTAATTCAATTAGTCTATCAATATATAATCAATACACTTACCAATCATTTTTATATTGATTTTTATACGGGTAGAACACGATTCCGCACGTTCAATGTTCGATATTACCTTTTTTTTCTACCCAAATACTTATTGTATTTGATTGCGACGTTGCCATGAGGAATACGATTCCTCACGTTTTTTCTTTTAACATGAGATTGATACAATTAGTGCATAATATTTAGGCACCTGAACTTTTCTACTTCTTTACTACGATATTTCAAATTCAAACTAATTAAAATTAAGATAATTTGGGTCTTTTGATAAAGTCGATAAAGATAACAATATACTATAAATAAACGACAAATGGACATCGTATGGTGCAAAGGCGAAACTAAAATATTTTAAGTATATATCACAATTTACCGAGCATCCAAGTTTGTATGATATTTTGATAATGACAAGATTATTTTATACTTGTTGGTTTGTGTTATTAGTAGAACGATGGTAAAATATTAGTGTAGCCAGTCTAGTGAGAACTATCTAGTTAAAACGCATCGCGTGTTTATACAGTTCAATAAGTATAATAAGTTGTATTAATTTCGAGTATTTTCTATAATTTATATTTTTACGGTGTTCAAATTTTAAAAAAAATAAATGACAATTATGAGATCGTAATAAACTGTTTGTAATAAATTTGACAACATTGCATCCAATTCTTATTGTACTCCTATAAACAATTAAGTGTGCGGAATCGTGTTCAAAAAAAAAAAAAAAAAACGTGCGGAATCGTACTCCTCCCTTTTAAACTATATATTTATTTTTATATTAATTATTTTATCACTTAGTTAAAAATTATTTATATTTTAATCAAAACAAATTTAATGGAATATTATTTATATTAATTTATTTTAAACATGTTTTTATTTATGGAAAAAATTGCATATTATAATATATTTTTTGCATATTTTGTCTATTTTAGCTCCTATAACTTCTCATCCCTAATTATTACTAATAAGTAGTTGCAGCCTAACAGGTAAATAATATAAAAATGTTAATAAAATTATTCTATGCAGATAATATTGTCAAAAGGCCAGAAGTATACACACTGTTAACAATCGATAATGTGTAAGCACTGGTGGGTGGGTGGCCGTTCTCGCTCAAGTGGAGATCCAACCTACCACTTACTGTCACCCACTGAACGTTAAGTAGTAGTGTAAGTGTCGTCTATCCGTAAGGTACAGTCGAGTCGATACACAGTGGCGCTGTCCGTTTTTTTTATATAAATGTTAGAAAACTCTGATCGCCCGCTGAAAAGAGATCGTTCTTTGCAATACCGATTACGAATATTATAAATATTTACATCTGGTATTTAATTATCTATTTTCACATAATTACGCGATGCGCTGAGTCCGTACTGTGATTGTAAATTATAATATTTTATTGATATTTGTATTTTAGGCAATACGAGTTTTAATATTAAATTAGTTATTGTTTTACATCGAAATCACCGCTAAGATGGATACTCAATTCTACACGACCCATGTTAAGCAGTCTACTGCCATCAATTTGAGCGATACAGGTACGTATTTTTGTTTCAGATCTAATTTAGTTATGAACATTAGTACACTACTGATAAGTTGCTATTATCCAATAAAATAGTTAATATCAAAGTAGTTATATAATTCGATAGAAAATAGTTATAATTCTAATGCACCTCTATTAAACAATCCAATTTGTCTTTCTTCTGTTGATATTGCAATTTGTGGGTATTAAACCAGGGGTGGTCAAACAGCAGCTCGCGAACCACGTGCGGCTCCCGCCATGAATTCATGCGCCTCGCGACTTATATAGCATAAGATACAAAAAACATTTAAATGTTTTTAATATGAATTTATAAATTTTTGTATTTGAAGAAATATAATGTTTTATTAAATTACCGTTCATAGAAAAAATTTACAAAAAATAAAAACTATTGATATAATATTTAAATATGTATATATATATTTTTAAATTATTAATTAATATATTATATTATTTCGGATTCTACACATTTCATTACATTTTGCAATAATCATATATATATATATATATATATATATATATATATATATATGTGTGTGTGTGTATGTATGTATTGATATGATCTGTTTTTTTCATTTTGGCTCTCTCATATTATTTATTAATATATTGGCTGGTTCGCGAGTCTCTTCTCACTAACAACCTCTGATAAAACTATAAATACAAATTAGCCTGATCGGGTCAAAATTTGTTGAAAATTTAATCAATTATTAAAATAATACACATTTGTACCTGTAATCAGAGTAGGGCGTTATTCGAATGATTTTTTCACGATTATTCAAATAAAAATGTATTCGAATAATTTCTAAACGTTATTATTCGAGTAATTGTCGTTAATTTTGTTTGAATAACCATAGGGTTGATAATTAAAAACAGGCTAATAGTTGGCATTGTAGGTATTTTAAATTACATGATGATGAAAATATTTTAAAATATTATATATAAAACAGATATAAATCTATAGAAGAAAATAAAGAATTTAACATATTTATTTTAATAATAATTTAGTAATATTAAAATATGAATATTATTTTGGAATAATTACAACAATTATAAATATTAGTAAATAGTAATAACAAAAATGTAAATAAATATTTTGGCAAAAATGAAAATAAATAAATATGGCAAATTTTAAATTTCAATAAATAAAATTATTATTAAATTTTTAATAAATTATTAAAAAAATTAATTTAGTTTAATATATCACAGTATAATTTATGCTATTATTAACTTGAAGACTTATAAATATTGTAATCTTATTACCATTATATGATACATATTTTGTACTACCTAGTATAATTTTTATTCGAATAATAACGTTTAGAAATTATCCGAATAATTTTTTATTCGAATAATAACGTTTGAAAATTATTCGAATACATTTTTATTTAAATAATCGTGAAAAAATCATTCGAATAAAATTTCAATCGAATAACGCCCTACTCTGCCTGTATGTAATTGCCATTTACCTACTATTAAAAAAATTCTAATAATTTATATTTTTAATGGTAAAAAATATAAAAAAAATAAACTGTAAAAAAAACATTTTTAACTATACATTTGGTCTAAATAGATCATAGACAGTCCTAGGTCTGTTAAAATGGGAAGGAGAATGATATTATGTAGTACTTACCAAAAAAAAAAAATTAAGGACCCAACTAGTATAGTACCTATAAAAATCACGGACCCAACTAGTGTAGTAATTTTTAATTCGGGACCTAACTCGGATGCAGCTAATTGGACCGTAACCCATAAGCGCAAAAGATGACCCAAATACGGGGTTTTATCGATTCCGCCGTTCAATATCAATTCTGACGGCTATTGATTTCGCCTGATATTAGTGCATATAAATTGATTCCGCCGAATATTTATTTATGTTAGTTATATGAAGTATATTCTTTAATTAACAGTGAAAGAACACCCAATTTACCATAATATAAATATATATTTTTTTTAAATTCCAATAAACAATAATTGTCGTCCACAACAAACAATATAACACAAGTACCTACCTAAACATATTTCAGTATGGAAAAAAAGCAATTAAATACTATAAAAGTTAATTTATTTATTTTAAATAGTGGTTTAATGCCAGTTTTACATAAGTTAATCTATCAATTTTTTTTATTTAAATAATCATCAACAATTGTTGTTACTAAGTTTTTTTTTTTTTGACTTTATAATTTTTATTTTTTGATTGTTTAGCCCTCTTATTATTATAAAAGAATCAGTTTGTATCTTTAATTTTAATATATGAGAAAACAATTATATATTTGGATGTGCTTAAATGAATTGCGTGTTAAGTTTTGAATGGAACGATTCATAACTGTTGTTTGTTCTGAAGTTGAAGACGATACCCACATTTTTTGGTTAAATTTTGATGCTTCATCAATATAGATACACACATAGACATCACATAGATAATCACAAAATTTGTTTAACCTCGCGTTTAAATCAATATAGAAAAAAGTTCGGTGAAGTCAATAGTCACCGGAACTAATATATAAAAAATATTGGCAGAATTGATATACGACGCAATCCATAGATTTCTTACAGGTTAAAAGGTCATTTCGGCGCAATCGACATACGCCCCTAAACGTAACACAAAAGCGCAAATACATTTCACAAGAATAAAGTATATTTTATAAATTAGATATAAATTTAAACTGTATAGTTATCTTAAATTATTATCAACCTTTACCGTAGTTCGTTATGATAAAATCCTATACCAAAAAACTAAACTTCAACTGAACTCGGTTACTGTTGATGTATTTTTTTAATTATAAAAATACTATATATTTAATTAAAATAAATAATTTAATAGTTTTAAAATGAAACTTACAGTTTAACGGGTTCCAAATTTATTTTGGCGCTTTTGTTTCACTACTCAGGTACAAAAGCACAAAAGTAATTTGCTTTAAATAATATGTAACATACCCCTATCATGCTGCTAAATTATGCATATAACTTAATATATTTTCACGATTTCACGAAGAAAAACAAAATGAACTTTTTTTTTGTTTACTCTAGGTTTTTATTACACATAAAAAAAATATTTATATAGGAAAACTTAAATTAGATAGATAATTAGTTTTAATTTTTTTTTTCTTTATTAAATCAAAAAAAAAATAATTTATACGCATTTTAAAATTTGAGAAAAATTTAAAGCAACTAATAAAAATTAGTTGAAATGTGTAAAATTTAATGACAATAACTATAGATTGAAGGAATATAATGGAAAATGTACATATAATATATTCCACAAAATAAATATTTTGAATGAAAAACATTTATTCAATTATAAGATAAATATGAAACCTTTTACATCAATGTAGTATCAATGTTATATGTCGTTATAATTTTAAGTTCCTTAATATTTTTGTTTTTCTTGCAAGTGTTATGATAAATTTTATATTTTTATTTATTTATTTAATAATTTTATTTTATTTGTTAATTTAGGATGTTTGTTATATCCAACAGAACGCAATCTAATTGTTTCAAAATTGAATTGTATAGAAATGTACATAGTTAATGAAAATAGCCTTTTATTTCTAACAAAAAAGGAATTAAACGGAAAAATTGAAATAATGAAAGTCTTTAGACGTCCAGTATGATGATTAATTAATTCAAAACAACTTTATTCAAATTTATATGATGATTATTGTTGTTTTCTTTTTCAGAACACGAATAAAGATTTGATATTCGTAGTAACTTCTGAATATAATGCAATGATTTTGGAATTTAATAAGGCATCTGATGAAATTCAAATTATTATAAAAGGTCATTGTAATGTGTTTGAAGATAATCGGGTTGTAACAGGTTTCATTGCCACAATTTCTCCTCGTTCAAACGTAGCCTTGTTATATTTATTTAAAGGAATATTTAAAACCATACCATTAAACCAAGATAAACTTAAAATACATAATATTTTGTAAGTTATGTTCATGCATTTACTATTTAATTAATTATTTAAAAAATGTTTTTTTAATAATACTACGTAATTATAGATTAGTCGTGTTAAATATATAGTCTATTATCATAAATTTAAATATAAACAGATTAGATATGCCTCTGACAAAAAGTAATGAATTGTTAATTGGGAATTCCCATCATCTTCCAATAGATATTAAATCATGATTTGCAGAGTTCATAATATAAGATTGATATGAGTTCAAGAGAAACTGTGTTTGGCAGTTTTATACCATGGCTTATTTGTTATTTTAAAACTAATACTATATAATAAAATTTATAATGAAATATGCTTAGAATTTAGTTTAATATGTTTATGATATATATTTCAATTTTAGAACAAGTCAGACAAATATTCAAGGTATTGGTTTTTTGCATGGTTTTTATTGTCCTACTTTTGCATTCGTTTATAAAAACGACAGAGGTCGATACATTAAATTGAAAGAAATTAATTTTAATTGGAAAAATTGTAACAAGGTAATTTTTATTAAATTGTTAATATTTTTAGATTAATTTTAATTGTATTTATTCACTAGAGTTATTCGAAATTTGAATTGATTGAAAATGAAACTGCATTGGTCATTCCTGTTCTTTATCCTTTCTATGGAGCCCTTATTGTTAATGAAAATTCCATTATTTATCATAGTTGCTCTGAAAAAGATAATTCTATTAATGTTAAATTAGAACAGGTAAATTATTCCAAACTAAAAAATATATTTTAAATATATTTACATATTTTTTAAAAGTGTTATATTTTCAGAAAATTGAAATTCAATGTTATACTATAGCGAATATGCTCGGAAATAAATATTTAATTGGAGACAAAACTGGAACTTTGTATTGCTTAATTTTAGAGCATATAGCATTACATACCGGAAAACATAAAGTTTTTGGTATACAACTATATAACTTAGGTTGGTTAAAAATTATACTAATATTATGGAATACCAAAAATACAAAAATTAATATTTTTTCAGGAGAAATTAGTATACCTACTTCACTAACATATTTATATAACAAATTATTTTTTTTTGCATCTAAATACGGCGACTCTCAATTTGCTAAATTAAATTATACATATCGTGAAGAAAATTGTATGTCCGTAAAAGTGTTAGAGAAACATCTTAATTTAGGGCCAATTGCTGACATGTGCATAGTTGATACTAGCCAATATGGTCATCAGCAAATTGTTACTTGTTCAGGTATGTTTAGAATTGTTTATTTCAAAAAATAAATAAGTAATCGCTTTATTTTAATTTTATTATTATTAATTTGAAGGGGCATATAAAGATGGATCACTTAGAGTTATAAACAAGGGAGCAGAGATTCAACAGATAGCCACTATTAATTTGAGTGGAGTTATAGGAATTTGGACTTTAGGTTTTGATACTGAAAGTAAAAAAGATGATACAGTAGTATTATCTTTTGTTTGGCATAGTAAAATTTTAGCCTATAATCATGACGAGGTTGAAGAAATATATGTTGAAGGTTTTGCATCTGAAATAAATACACTTTACTGTGGTAAAATATATGGAAATATGGTTCAAATAACACCTAAAAGTGCTCGGTTAATTTGTATGAAGTCGAAGAAATTAATCTATGAATGGAGTATCCCAGATTCCAGAAATATTAATAATGCAACATGTTGTGGCCAACAAGCGGTTTGCTCTGCAGGAAAGGATCTATATTACATATTTATTGAAAAGAAAACAATCGTTCTAAGAAGGTATAAAACTTTTAAAAATATAATAATTAATAATTAATATTAATTTTTTTTTTTTTAACATTTAAATAGGCATTTTAAATTAGAACATGATATATCTTGTCTAGATATTAATTTAATTAATATCAATGATTTTATGGTTTCGCTTGCTGTTGGTTTATTGGCAGACACATCAATAAAAATATTTTTACTTCCAAATTTTAAAACATTAATAAATGAATCTTTATTGGAAGGTAAGTAATAAATAAAAATTATCAATACCAAATTTTTTTTTAAATGAATTATTGCTAAATTAATAAAAACTCCTTTTTATGTAGTAACTTAAGCCTGTTACTGGATTATTTCTGTAGTTCAAAAGAAACAAATTAAGATTACCTCCTTCTTCAAATAATTTTTTAAACATATTTTTAGCAATATTAACTGCTTTTTATGTCAGTCCATTGCTTTGATGGTAGTTAGGAATGCATATTACTAGCACAACATCCCAATCTTTTATAAATATTTTGAATTCTAAGCTATTAAATAGATTATTATCAGCAACTATAATTTTAAGTATACCAAATCTACTGAATAACTTTTTTAATTTTTTTATTACTTTACAGCCAGTTTTACTTTTAAGTTTTACTACCTCTAGCCACCTAGAGTAATAATCTATTACGACTAAGTAACTTTCACGACTATTCATAGATTCTTTAATTTGGGATTTACTGAATTTTAAACATATTTTACAAGCCCCAATGTAATTTTCAATTTCTGATTTCATACCCAGTCAATAAAATAACTGATAAACTTTTTTTGACCATTTTTATCATCTTGAAATGGGTGCTATGAAGCTTTTTTATAACATATTTTCTCATTACTTTTGATATTATTAATCATATTTTAATTTTCTAACATGATTATATTTTTTAATTCATAAAAATGTTTTAGTTCTTCTCTTAAAGTACATTTTTTAGGTCACCTATTTTTTAATAACTACCTACTAATTTGATTAATAACTTCATCATTTAATGTAGCTAACCTGAACTTACTTTCCTTATTATTTTTAAATTTAATTTCAAGTCCACCTAATGTGAGTACAATATCAATCATAATCTCATCACTTTTCTCTACTCTTTTGATGTAATTTTAACTTAGCAAATCTGCAATGTATGTGTACTTCCATGGTAAGTATTTTAAATATATGTTTTATACTAACAATTTAACCCTCAATCTTCTGAATCTATTATTGAGTACCTTGTTGAATTCGTTTTTAAGAACTGAAACTAATGGCTGATGATCAGTGAAAATGTTAACTTGTTTTTGCCCATATATTAAATAATGAAATTTGGTATATACAGACACTATAGCAAGCGTTTCCTTTTCTACTTGAGCAAAATTTACTTCAGAATCACTCAAGCATCATGATGCATAATGGATAGGTTTTTTATTTTGAAATATACAGCATCCTATTATTTCACCATACCTAGAAAAGATTGTAATTCTATTTTATTTAATAGTTCATTTAATTCTCTTATAATTCTTATTCTCCTAGTATCTGGTTGAACATCTTCAGCACTAAATATAAATCCCAAAACTTAATTGTAAAAACCTTATATTGTAGTTTTTTAGGATTAAATTTAATATTAAATTTTTTTTTTTTTTATTTCTTCACTTAATGCCCTATAATGTTCTTCTATTATCTATCCAGCTACAAGTATGTCATCGAAATAGACATTTACATTTTCTATATTACCAAAGTATTCAGTAATAATCACTTGAAATTTTTCTGGAGCTACTAACAGTTCAAAAGGTAATCTTAAAAATATATAACATCCACTAAGTGCACTAAACAACATACCTATTGAGACTCTTCACCAAGTTCACAATGATAAAATCCGTCTTTAAGATCTAATAGTGTGAAAATATTTATATTTGATAAATTTAATTTAATTTGTTCCAATGTGGGTATTTGGTACATTTCTCTTATAACACTTTTATTAATCTCTCTGGGGTCTAAATAAATTCTTAAACTTTTATCAAACTTTTTTACAGCTATTATTGGACTTTGCCACTCACTGCGTTTATTACATTTTACTAGGTATTACTTTTTATTTACATATAATAGCTAAAACTTCTTTTAAATTATTTATGATTTTATAAGGAACTCTTCTATGATGAACAAATAGAGGAACTACATTATTTTTTAGTTTGATATTAATTTTTTCTGAAAATTTACCAAGACCTGTAAAAATATCAATATTTTCTTTCACAATATTTTTCTCATCCTCACCTTTGACAATTTTATTTATTTTATTCATATTATAACTCAATTTTACACAACCATTTAACCCTATAATTAGTAACTCATCATAGTCCATTACCTCAAACTATGTTATTATTTTATTTTTAGTGTTACTAATACTAATACTAACTTTAATTTTAACCAATGATTTGATTTGAAAACCTCCGAATGCTTTGATTATTACTGTAGTTTTTTCCAATTTAGTATTTAATTTTTTAAATTCCTTTAATGGCATTGCATTTAATTATGCGCCAGTCACTAATTTAATCACAATTTTAATATTATTTACACTCACTGTATCAGTTCAATTTTTACATTTCTCAGTCTCAACTGTGTTTAATGATAAATTGATAAATATATCACTATTATCATTTTGGTTAACTTCATTCACATGATTATTATTATTATTTTTTTCTTTAAATTTACACTTAACAGCAAAATGATTTGATTTACTACATAAATTACAATTTTTTCCAGATGCAGGTAATTTATTTATAGGCTTATAGCAAATTGATTTCCACATTTAAAACAATTAAACATTTTTTGTTACATTGATCTTTGTAACCAATACTGTTATGGTACTTGTCTTGTTTTGATTTGCTGTATTTTCCACTTTCATTTTTCTTTACTCCAAATTGTTGATAGTTTGTTTTACTTAAATCCTTAGATTTAAAATGCCAATTTTTGCTTTTTTCAATTTGTACTACAATTAAATTTTTTGTTTGTACTAAATGACAATTTGCTTCAGTTTGTTCTACCACTTGTCTAAGTTGTCCAAATGTACATTTATCTGATTTATTCAGTCCATGTTAACATTTAGGTAACGTTATGATTGTTATGAATTTTGATTCGATTTGAATAAACCACATTTACCAAAACCTTCAAAAATGCGATGCTTTGAATGCTATGTAAATATGTAATGCATTTTTAAATTTAAATGTTCCGTTTTGGGTTTGGTAAATTTACTGAACTTTTTCTTCGTTATTGATTTTTATTCGTATTTATCTCAAACATAGAATTTACCAATTATATACACCATAAATTTGTTATTTATACAAACAATTACTATACTTACCGATAAAAAATTAATGAAACATAAAAAAAACCATTTGAAAGCAAAACTATATAAATTATAGCAGAAATAAAGCACGTCACGTATGTTGTCTTTGTAAAACCTAAAATATTATTTTTCTATAAATTACAAGAGATATTATAAATTACCAACAAGAATATATATCACAACCAAAGTTATATTTTTTAAAACTGTTTTTGAGGATTATTTTATTTTTTTATTTTTTTAGGAGATGTTCCTCGATCGTTATCCATAGTTACATTAGAAAAATTTAATTACTTATTTTGTGCAATGGGAAATGGGAATGTATGTTATTTTGACATAAGTTTTGAACTTAGTAAATTATTGAATAAAGTGGAGGTTAGTATTAATAATTTTAATTTATCTTTTATAGCTTAACCTTAATAATCAGTTTAAACTCTTTTATATTTTTATTTTAGATTGAACTTAGTACCCAACCAGCTTTATTCGCAAAGTTTGTATGTGAATCAGATATGTTTATATGTTCGAAATACTCAATTTTAATTGAATCAAATAACAATAGATTGGTCTTCACCAAAGTACTTAATTCATATAAAATTAATAATATATGCAAGATCAACACGGATAATAATTCCAATAGGTAAAAAAAAATAGCTATTACATTTAAATTATATTATTTAATTACTTAATTAATTTTTTTTTTTTAATGAAGAGTGATTCTGGCTACAGACAACTCTATTATTTTTGGTACTATTGATACAAAGGAAAAATATCATGTGCGAACTATTCCCCTAGGAGAATCTCCTCTACGAATCGCATACCAAAAAGAAAGCAAGGTATTATTAACCACAATTATTTTTACTATTTTATATTTCGATTTAATTTTTTTTTTTTTTAGACATTTGGCATATTAACTTCCAAAACATATTTAAAAAGTAAAATTAGAAGTGGATGTATTCAGCCTAGTGCTAGTAATATTACACAAAATATTTCTTCTTCAAATGAAGATCATGTTATGATTCAGGAAGATTTGATAAACAGAAGCAAAATAAGATTATTTAATAACAATCCAGAAATAGTAATCAATAATATGATTATATTAAATGAAGATAATTTTGATGGCAAGTGATTTTATTATAATAAATTAAAATAATCAATCATAAAATATATTATATTAATTTTATAATACTTAAAAAAAATTAAATTATAGTTTTACATGTATATCAATTACATAACAAAGAACATGCGTTATGTATTATATCAGCTAAATTTCCAAACGATCCAGATACTTATTATATACTGGGAACGGGTACGAAAACAGGTCAATGTCAAAATCCTAATAACGGACGAATCGTTGTTTTTCATTTTGATTCTACTTCATCAATATTGACTACTATACATGACGAAGATATTGATGGTTGTTGTCATAGTTTGACTGTAATTGATGACATGCTTTTAGCTATAATTGATAACACAGTAAGTTAAACTATTTATATTTAAAAATTTAAATAAATTAAGACATTTTAGGCTTTTTTTTTTTTTTTTTGTGGCTTAATATACCCACGTATGTGTTTCTAGCCCAAGCCAATTATAATTAAAAAAAAAAAAAAAATGACAAATATTTAGTATTTCATTAATAGGTAATTGCTCAGTCGGTTCTAATAATTTTTTGGTTCGAAAAATCTGTTATCTTAATTCGCTGTACTGATACTCAACACTCAATTAGCATGAATTGACATATTTAAAAAAAAAAATAATTTGACATAGTCTAATTTAAAATTAAATAAAAATAAATACTTGTATATATGTAAATTTTTGATACCTCTCCATAAGGCGTTAAAGGTTTTAAAAAAATCTAAAAATGCCCTTGTAAAATTATTATGTAAACATATTTTTTAAATTTTTGTTTTCAGTATAAGCTATCTTTGAGGAACTTCTATTAAATTTTTATTTTTTGGTCTTAATTGAACATTTTACAAATTTTCAACCGCAAAACAATTTGTATATTTTTATAGTTTTATCGAAATTTATAGTTTAAATGCTCACAAAAAATAAATCTAACTTTCCAGTAATTTTTTTTTTTATAAGTAAAAAAGAAATTAAGATAAATCTTTTATTAAATTTTCAATTCTAAAAAATTTTATGACACTATAAAATAATAAGTAAATTTTTGTAATTTTTACAATCTGTTAAAATGCTAACTTTAAAATGCATATAAAAACTATTGTTCATATGTATTTTTGATATTTCTAAGTTGGTAAATTAACAACATATAAAAAACCAAGTATTTTTACCAAGATAACTTCTTTCGACATTTATAAAAAAAAAAAAACAAAACTAAATAAATAGAAAATTAGAATTATTTATAAATAGCTTTTAGAGAATAAAAATATTTTGAAGGAAATACTAATAAATATTTAGAGTGAAATTTTCAAGTAGTTTCTTTAATTACTTATTCTTTTTTCAGATACACCTAAAAAACAAATTTTCGAAATTTCATTTTTTTTTAAGTTATTTGTTTCTTTTGTTGTATTATTTTTTGAAATACTGAGGATTTTTAAATTTGATCTCTTAAACGTATAAACTAGATTCAATTTTATATTAAAAACTATTCTCTATGTTAAAAATCTAACATGTTTTTAAAATATTTATCGTGTACACGCATGCACATAAAATAACACTTATTATTTTAAAATCAATACGTTCATATTGCTCAGCTCAAAATTTAAAACTTACTAATAAACAGGAATTTTTACATAACAACAGTGTTTATCAAAATTGATTTTATTTTCGGAAGTTGTTAACATGAATAAATTAACCATAATTACTTGAAATGTCTAACCAATGTTTGTATCAACATTTTCTTTACATGATACAGTTTTTAAAATATTTAAATTTATGGTTGAGGCTTGCGATATATAAAAATATCATAGATATGATTCAATATGGCTTAAACATACTATCCTAATTCTTATTTGGGTTTAATAATACAGGAGAAACTCCTAACTTTGAACCTTTATTTTTCAGTAACCTTAACATTTTTAATTCATAGATATATATAACAGTTATACATACATCACTATATTATATAAAGGGAACATAACCACTCATACAATAACCATTTATATAATGTGAATAAATTATTTAAGCTACTAAAGATTTTTTATTTATTTGTTTTTTTAATATAGATAAGTAAATACCTTAGAATTTTTCTTTTACACGGGAGTCCCCCGAGTTCAATATCTGACATTGATCATTTCTTATTAATTTGACTATTTAAATATACTTGTCCTTTAGATACAATTATTTTCCTGGACTCTTGAAAAAAAATTAAATCATCAATGCACAAAAGATAATGAAGATATAGAATATTCATTTCAAGCAAATACTAAATTGTGTGAGGATATATTGGAATCATTTACAGCGATTAAATACAAAGCTGGTTACACCAATTTTGAACCGGTAATTTTAACAATTTATTATTTGTATATATTAATAAAAAAACTTTAATATTTTTTTATTATATTATTTCTATTATTATTATTATTTTTTGTATAGATAACTGCAGATATTAGTCTGCAAAATTGTTTAAAACGGCCACCTACCGTAGAGGTAATTGATAATAATTTACTTCTGGGAGCAGAAAATAATAAAACTTTGAATGTTTTTTGTAAATCCAGGTATTTTAAACTATTTAATTATGATGATTATTAATTTATGTAATTAATTAGTATTGAAAATTATTATTGTAATTATTTTGTTATTTAGAAATTCTAATTCCAACTTTAAATTAATTGGCCAATTCCACTCGTATGATTTGATAAATGTTTTTGCCCATGGTTCATTAGCTATAAATCAATTAAAAAGTACTCGTGAAACAAAAATATCAAATCAAGGAAGTATTATGTATGGCACAGATAGTGGAACTATTGGTTCGTAAAATTTAATATGATACAAATTGATAATCTTTTTTTTTTTTACTTTTATTTACACTTGTCTTTATTTTTTTTTACTTATTAAAATAAACGTTTTACTTAAAATCTAATAAGTAAAAAGTAAGTAATAAGAATACCATGCTTAGTAAAACAAAAATAGTATGCTTTGAATTAGTACCTATTAAAAGTTTGTTAAGATCTACCTATTATTAAATTTGGGTATCAACTAAAGAATATAAAAATATTATAATGAAAACTTAATTGAAAAGTCTATTAGAGTTTAGATTTAATGAAATTACACAACTAATACCTACATAGTATCTAAGCTATCTATTTCAGAAGCTATTTATCATTTTTTTATTTTTTTTTTTTTTTTATATACAAGAAGCATTAATTATTTTATGAATTTGATTAAAACAAAATATCAATAATTTTAGAAGAATAAGAAAATAAAAAAAAATTTGATTATCCAAGAACACCAATAACATTATAAAAAAATACTTTATAAGTTAAAGACTTAGATATATTGCTTTTATAAATCATTATTGTATTTCCGTGTACAGTAAACCTGTCTTATCCGGACCTCTAAAAAGACGAAATCCTGTTCTGTGCGGAAATTTATTAAGGTACCCGCAAATTTATTACAATTTAACATAGGATTAAATCCTTGATTAAACGAAACTTATCTTATGTAAATCGGAAAGCTATTTTTTAGTCCCGTAAATCATATACACTTTTAATAAACGGAAAAATATGTCATAAAATGAACAAAAATATTTTTAATATCCACGTTTATTTTGCTATTAAACAATTATTAAGGTCACCAATTATTTCGTATCGATAAATAACTAAATTTTATCTTGAATCTAATATCATCAGTGTTTATTATTTTCACACCGTAGTCAAAGTTTTCCTGTTGTTTCATCTCGTCTAACTTGTTCTCATAATGTCTTCAAGGATTTGTATAAGTTTTAAGTAAAAATTATAAGTTAAAGAAAAAAGTTGTTAGTTGTTAAAGAAAAAAACAAACAAAAAACTTTACACGCATTTTGGAATTTTTAATTCTATTTTAAAACATGCTTACTTTATTTTATTAATACCTACTAAATATGTTCTTCAAATTTTGGAATTTTTTTTTGAAATTTTAATATACTTATCATTATTTTGAAATATCTAAATAATACATATTATAATGTAATTATTTACTAAAAATTAAAATTTATTGTAACCTATGATCTTTATCAATTTTCAATATTTAAATTTTTATTATTAACAGGAAAATGTTACAACCTTAAATCTTAATCAAGCGAAATATTGTAACTCTATAGCACGGAATTTTCCTTTTTATTCAGTTTTATGAAAACCTTCCTAAAACGGAAATTGTTATTGGTCCCGTGCAATTCCGCACAAGACAGGTTTTACCATACTTATAATTCTATAATTAAGTAATAAATTAGCTTAGTATAAAATAAGTATATTTTTTGTTATTTTTAGTTTCTAAACATACCAATAAATGTAATGAGTTTTAAATAATATGTAGGTGTATTTTTTGTGTCTGAAAATATTTTGTATAGTATAAATCATCTACATTGAAGAAGGTTTCTAGTAGAAAATTGAATCTAGGTATGCTTTGGAAGATGAGAAAAAGACATTTTTCAGTACCTACTTTCTAAAATAAATAGGTATACGAACATTTTTTTCTAATTTTAATCTTTTGTTAAATTAATTATTTGCAAACCCTAATTACCAAAAATGTATACTGCCTTAAGTCGGAATTATTGAATCTCATAGTATACAATGATTGATCATCAAATTCAATTTTAACACATTCATTACATTGACCTTCTCGATGACGAGGTACAAACAATACTTAATAATCACTGTATAGCAAAAAAGTTACCTAATTAACAACTTTTTCTTTTTTTTAATTTTACATTATTTAATTTATTAAAGAATTTTAAACTGTTATAATTTTTAATTGCATGTCTGTATGTAAATTTATAGATGTTTAGTCCGCGACACGAAAACTGGCCCCTGACCATCACGAACCTAGTGGTCGTTTCGCTTCAGTGGTCCACAATGTAATTAAATTAATTGCCGTGTTTTTTTTAATTAAAACTTCATTTGCAGAACATACTTTAATTTACAAACCAATAAACAAATAATACAAATACCAAAAAAAAATAAACGATATAGGTTAAGAACTCATAACGTTGAGTAGGGTAAACACTAAATAGTGCGGATCGCGGTACTCAAGGACCAGTTTTCGTGTCGCGGACTATAATATTTCTTCCTAAATGCCCAATTTACATATTATTGGCAGAAAATATAATATAAAAACTTTTTAATTATAATGCTTGTAGATTGCCGACTATTTTCTTTGACAATCTATTAACCTTAATATTATTATAATTTATAAGGCATCCTTTAAATACTGCTTAAAATATTTTTACATTAGTTAAAAATTCAGAATATGTGTTTTCAAGATAAAAAAATGTAACTAAATATATCATGTGTTTTTAGTAATTTAACTGCTTCTATACCTTATTACATTTTCATTTTCATTCATCTTTTATTTTGTTTTCATAACCTAGTTGTAGATTTTAAATGCTTTGCTTAATTCCTTTATAATCTCCCTTGAAGGACATAATAGATAATGGTCTGATGTTTGAAGTATTTTAGTTCTATACATTTGTATATATGTATTTATTATTTTTATTATTATTATTATTATTATTACCTACTATTTTTATGTTTTCCATTTCAATGTACCTATTATTATTTATACAAATTTATTATTATAACTTTGTTTTTCATAAAAAAGGATAGCTATAGTTCCAGTGGTTAAGTGGTGTTTTTGTTGTTTGCAGGAAATCTGCTCGATGTTAATTATTTTGTGTTATCTCAGTGAATTTAATCTTGTTATTTATGTGAGTGTTTCATGTCTTGTTTTACATAGTACCTAACTATGTAATTAGAATTTGTTACCCATTAATTGGTATAAATATTTATATATTTGGCATCTATCTTTACCATATTAGTTATATTGTTGTCCTCTTTAATCATAGAGGTAGTTGCATAGAAAATTACAAAAGGCTTAATAAGTAATGAATGATTATTTGTATTAGATTTGAATACATATTAATTATTCTACTAGCCAATAGAATAGACAGCAGATGTAACTAATTAATATTATTGGTATTAAACGCAACTTATAATTTGTTATTTAAATAATTAACCTACTTGCTTCAAGCTAATATTATAACACTCTTCACCTGTTTATCACATGTTTAGATACTATTTTATAATTTATTATTTAAATTTACTTGAATATATTATTTAACTGTATAACTACATAATCTGTCAGTTATTTTTGAAGTTACTACAGTTTTACAATGTATACATTTTTAAATTTCATAGTTAATCAGTATATTTTTAATGTTGTTTTAAAGCTTACTATTTTGGTTTCTCGAGGCATGATTTTTATTTCATTTTGTAGAAAATTAAGGCAAATATTTATTTAATATTGACTTAACTTTTTTTTAAATTCCATAATTGTAATTATTTGTTATAATCTAAACAGGATTTATTACAAAAATGGATCCAACACTATGTGATTTTCTGGCAGACTTACAAAAAAGCTTAACTACTGTTGTTAAAGAAAAAGTAGAAGATATAACATCAAATAAAGGATTTTTTGATGGGGATTTTATAAGAAAATTTTTTGAATTGTCCAATTCAAACCAGAATGCAGTTATTCAAGGACTAACAGTAATTATAATATTTTTTGTAGTACAATTATTTAATTCTTAATAGTTATCTGAAAAAAAATTGTTTCTAAATAATTGGGTAAATATTTAATAGGTAATTTACAGACTTGCCTTTTACAAAAATGATGATTTATATATTATAAATATTTTAATTTGTGACTTTATGAAAGCTATATTAAAAAGATAGCCCATATTTATGTATGTCAATTATTTCACATTAACAAACGGACAATAAATTGTAACCAAAGTTACATCCATTTCATTTCAGTGCCACCATGATTTTTGTACTATAGATTTTTAAGGATTCTAAATTGTAGTACAGTACTAGCCTATGTTTCTTAATTTCTCAAAAATACAAACATAATATTGTATTCTTTGGAATAATTATACACTATACCATACCATACTCTAAAATGAAATTATAAAATAAATAGTAAAATTTTTAAAAATAATTTTATTACTTTTTTTTGATTGTAATAAATTGTATTATTATATACTTGAATTACAAAAACTTCATAAAACTTTAAAAGTAAACACTATATTATATAACATAAGTATTGTAAATGTATTATCTGAAAGCAAACTTTGTTTATAGATTAATAATTCCTAGTACCTAATTATTTAATCTTTAATTGTTATAAATTATAATACTTAATATATTATACTAACATATATGATCTTTTTTAGGGATTGTATGATACAGAATTCCAGAAAAATCTAGAAGAAACAAGCATTGATGTTTATAAGACAATTGGTTTTATTGAAGATTTAAAAAAGTTATACTAATTAACATTTTAATCCATCTTAAAAGAATTGCATAGTATTTATATGGTGTATATTAATATGATATCACTAATATTCTATGAAGTTTTTTTGAATATCTAATAATAACAATCTATTAATAATAGAATTAAAGTTTGTAAATATTTTTTTTTTAACTACCTGTTTTACTAAGAAAATTCATGTTTAATTATTTGTTTATTTGACCTTTATTCAAACCTAACGCGTCTTGACAATTTTGACCATTTTCCTCAACATGTAAAAAAATGGTCGATGTGTACTTTGTTCTAAAGGCCAAACCGTAATCAGTTGCATTAAGTGTGAAAAAAGACTGTGTATAAACAATACGAGAAATTGTTTTTATACATATCACAAGGAAAAATAATGAAAAACTGGTATAACGTACCCATTGAACATATAATATATTTTTTTTAATTACCAATATTATTAAATAATTTATTTGTATTATATTTTTATTGCAAAAGTTAACGTATTAGGTATTACGTATTTTCATTTTATTATATTTTATATTTGATATATATTTTATCGATTGTTATAGATTTTATAAAAATGTATAAAATATAAAGTTAAAGTTATCATTTTATTTTATGTTAAGTTTTATTTTGAAACACTTTTTATTTTGTAGTTTCAATTAATAATTATTTTGTAAAAATGTTGGTATTAATTCAATAAATAACAAAGAGAAATATAATTTTTACCATTTATATATTATTATATTTTAAATAAATATTAAATAAAATATTAGAATACATACTTTAAATCCGTGTATTTTAAAAGATACAAAAATGATTTGTGCACTTTAGAGTATTGTATCTTTATGGATACATGGTTAGTTATTAGTTTACACAATATTGTATCTAAAAAGATACATTTTTGAAATTTGGAATTCATGGCAATGTATCTTTAAAGATACAAGGTATAACTCAAAAACTGTTGGCTCAACATTAAAAATGACCTAAAAAATGGACTCAGGACATCCAATTTACTCTAATTTGACCATTTACATAATTTTAAAAGACATTTTTTAGGTTTGCCAAGTTAAGGGTTAAGTAGGTAGTAAAAAGTATTGAAATATTTTATTTAGATAAAAAAGTTATTTAAATAGATTATCATTGAATATTTTTTAGTAATCCTATAGGTACCTATAGGTAATTTAGTTCTTATTTTTTACACTTATGTGTCAATCAACATACATGCTTTTAATACAATTAATTAATATGATTACTTTGTTATAAACAAGTACAAATATGTATAAACATAAATATTAATAACAATATTATATTTGTCAATTTTTTTCAAAAAATATATTATTTAACAATTATACTTTTATTCCTAATACTTTTACATTTTACATGTTTAATTAATTAAGTTGTATCATTACAAGTATAAACAATATGAGTATAAATACAAATTGCAATAAAATTAAAGAATTCAATTTTTTTTTTTTTAACAATGTTTGCTATTTGCTCAAAATTATTATTAAAGACCGTCTAATTGTTGCTATGATAAGAAAAATATGATTATCCAGATAATAAAAATTCAATTTGGTACATCATTCTTATTTATTAATATAGGTAATTATAATTATCTTTTTTTTTTAATGCTCAATCATCCTCAAAATTTTTTGCTATTTTAAAAAACTATTAAGCCAACCATTATGTTCGTACACTTTATAAATTAAATGTTAAATTATTAATAACTATAAAAATGATTTTGTAGGTATCTTAAAGTTTTTTTTCTGAATAAAATAAATAAATTGTATCCAAGGTACCTGTAAGTTTTTTATCTTTGAATCATTTTTTTTATTATATTTATGGATAATTCAGTGTATTTATTTAAAACATATATTTTAATTTCATTTATTGTTTATTTATTTATAATTTTAAGATTTTTAGAATTAGATGTTCTTATTTTTAATTTATGTATACTTTGTTTGCTAAAAAAATGTATTTTTCTTAGTTACTTGAGATAAATAAATGTTTAAGTTTGAACATCATAATCTTATGTTTATCTTAAATAGTAGTAATGACTATATCTAGTGTTCAAAAGTCAAATCATAAATTTAAGTCTCATAAAATGTATGTGCTATAAAATGCACTTCACATAAAAATGATGTATTTTAATATTGTTGCGTACCAAGAAGGTTATACCTCTACAGTATTTATTTTCGGGTAGAACATGAAATCTTGCGTATAAAATTGCATGGAACGCTATTAAATTTATTAATTTTACCAATTTACCATATACCTAATAAATATCAAGTAAAATATGTATACTTCTATAACAATCAATAAAAAATATTAAAATATACCTAATAAAAATAACTAAATAATAGTAAAAGAATTAATAAATAAATAAATTCGTCAATTATTAATAACGCTTAATATGTCGTACACAATGTAATATTAAGTATAGTCCGCGACACAAAAACTGGCCCCTGACCCTCCGAACCTAGCAGCCATGGGCCGTTTCGCCTCAGTGGTTCACACCGTAGTTAAATTAATTGCCCCGTTTTTTTTAAATTAGAACTTCATTTACTGAAAATACTTTAATTTATAAACCAAAATTTTGATTATTCGACCCAAGTATAGAACATTAAAAAATTAAAACAAAATATAATACAAATACAAATACAAAAAAAAAAATAAAAATAAACGGTATAGGTTAAGAACTCATAGCGTTGAATAGGGTAAATAGTGTGGGTCGCGGTACTCAAGGAACAGTTTTAGTGTCACGGACTAAATAGTTAAAAATCAGGTAAAATCGTACGCAACTGTGTTTTACTCTTATTTCCATACCTATTTGTTTTTCTATACCAAAATAATTGTTTTTGTCAGCGTATTGGATTAAGTATATACCTAAAAAGACCATTATTGTTCCTTATTGTTTAATCGTTTCAGTTTAATCTTTATTTATATTATTATCGGTACCTACGGCATATAGATATACAAAAATACTAGGTTTTCGTGCATGAGCAGACTATTGTTAGGTATATTATACTATATAGTTTGTCATTAATCACTCAGTTTACGAATACGAATACTTACAAGCAATACTTAGAAGTTAAATTTAATGAAAATAGAATTAAGTTTGACCATTACTTCATAGTTTATAGCCCATAGTTTCTATTTATGAAAAGCGTGATACATTGGATATAAATTATTGTTTAGCCACGAGGCTCCTACAAATCTGTGGTCGGCCTCGCTGACTACACCACCGAAAGATGAACTTGGAATAAACGTGAAGAATTGCTTAAAGAGAGGTGACCATACAAAATATAGACATTCGAGTCGTATTTAAAGTATGGATTACACAAATATAATATTAAAATGTACAAATTAACGTATCACCAACGACGAAGTGTTGACAGTTTATACAATGATTGATAATAGACTAACAGATATCACAATCACTTTCGTCGTGGTGATAATAATAATAATAATAAGAATAATAAGAAATAATAATAATAATATTTGGCCAAATACGATCTAAACAATTGTGGTACAATTTGTATATATATAAAAATATAAGATATGAAAATAATGACAGTATTTACGTGACTCCGTTCCTATGCCGATGTTGTCGTTGGCAGGTGACCAATTGACGGCGACAGTCAGGCCACTGGTCAGCTGTTTCTTCTTGAGCACGACGGTATAACAACAGGCAACCAAAACAAAGATAATAAGCTAATAGTAGACAACACTTGCAATTCACATACGTCGACCGATCGGTACACAACGGAAGTCGTGTGGTAATGTTATATTAATTTAGCGACAATCGGAACGACATACTCAATTCTAAACGAAGACCGCAAGGCAGTGTATATATATGTATTTAAGTTTAGCGGAGTGCGGATGTCGCAACAACGATATATATATATATATATACGGTTCGGAACGCGAGAGGTGTAACCGTTTTGATTTCAAACACAAGAAAACCGACCTATGCGAAGGTAAATGTCTAAAACGGGCGCACACTTGGACACTTGGACGTTGGACACTGTTCACAAGACGGTCTTAGGCGGCAACGTGCCGACAACTTGTTACCACGAAGGCGTCGCACAGAGGAGTCACTGTTCTTTTTGCCGGTGTCTCCGACAACACCAAAAAATATGCTATCCGAAATTAGTGGCCAATGACCCTATATCACCTGAGATAGGGCAATATCTGTACGTAATCTTTACGGCGGTTATAATTCCGTAAAGATACGTGATTGTGAAGGCCGTTAAACTACTAATCCGTTTTTACTGTCGAGCAATCGATTTCAGAATAGCATATAATAGGGCCATCGACCCCAGAGGAGAGGAGTCGCGATTAGGGCGGCAATAAAATCTATTTAAAGTTATCGCACTCGATAACTTGCGCGAACAATGACTATTTACAAATATTTAATATACAGTACCAACGAAAAATTGACGATAATCTTGGGTTTTATTGGATTTATCGATGTGGAGTACGGATACAGACTATTATTAAAAATAATATTCATATTATTGATCCAAAAGGTAAGCATTTTTCAATTAACGAACTTTCTCATGAGCCAGATCCACAATATTTACAAATTAAAAAAATTAAACAAAGCATCAAGCGAAAAGCCGATAAAAATAATGATACTGCACATAGGCGTCCCCAGACATTTTTCTAGGAGGGGGGGGAGCAAAATTAATTTTAAAAATAAATGAAGATTTTTATAAATTTTATTTATAGAACATTATAAAATTATTATTTTTCGTCATTAATACATTAAATTATTAGAATTAGGTAACAAATTTAAAATTCTAGAAGGGGAGTGCCCCATCTTGCCCTCCTGGGGACGCTTATGATACTGCATCAATAATTTATCAAGAATCGATAATGTCGCAACTTCATCACTAGTTTCTAAAAACTCAACTAGATGTTTAATTAAACGACGAAGAATGGGTAAGGAATGGAAAGAGCCAAAATTAATTTCTGAAATAACTATTTCCGAAAAACTTCAACATGTATTAAACAATAAATTGTTTTTAATAAAGTCATTTTAATGGAGAAATTATTATGTCATGATATTTACAGCAACAAAAAATTGTATGATTTAAAAAAATAAGTCATTTTGAGTAATAGATGGTACATTTAAATCTTGTCCTGTATTATTTAACCAATTATTTGTTATACACGGATCAAATAAAAGAGGAAATAACAGAACGGTTGTTCCATTAATTTATATGTTGATAACTTCAAGTGATGAAGATTTATGTATTCAGTTGTTTAAAAATATTAATAACTTTAAAGTCGAAAATAAAAATATTTTAAAAAAAATTCAAATTTGGAAATA